CATCGATTCATTAACCCATGATCTTGTATCTGGTAGAGATTTATCGGTTGCATTATAACGAACAATGGCTTTTATTTCTTTTGGAAGTTGTCTTATTTTTTCATCCGGAGTTGTAGATCTCAGGCAACCTTTTTGAAACATCGCACGCATCCAATAGTTAGTAATAAGGCTTGAATTATTAACTTGACTGATAATTATGGAGTATCTCTGTGCAACACCGATTACTATAAATTGGAATTTCTCTAATGGTTTAATAATCGTTCCTTCGGCCTCTATTATTTGAATAAGATGATCGTCGACCGAGAATAAAAATGACGACATGGCGCTACATAAACGTATCTGTGATTAGTTTAGATGATAAAATGGACTTTTGTATCTTAAATAATAAGATCAACACCTCGAGTTAATTAGTCGAATCCGGACTTTTTTTCCACGTTCGAAAATAAATTCCGAGAATCTTTTGTTAGACGCACATTCATATTGATAAGGACATTCTCCATTTCTTCCATTAATTAATCCATTATCTGGAACAGGCTTCGATATTTATAATGCTTAAAGTTCGAGACGAAAATATAAATTCTAAAATAATATAATCTGGATTTACACACCTCAGGTACTTCATCATGATTAAGTGAACCCAAGGGGATATTGCTGTAATATTCATATCTGAGTGTATAAAACTGATTGTAATAGTAATCGGTCATTATAATTGTTTTCTCATCATCATATTCGAAGATTTTGTGGTCATTGGGATCTTTAACAATAAACGGGCCATGTAGCCCGTCTACTAATTGTCCCGAGTGATGTGCATGACTATTTTAGGGAAAGTGTAGATTATAAAATCATACTCCTTATAGTTTACGATCTGCATATTATCAAATAGTACTCATACTCACTACCAATGAGTTCCAGAATTATTTGCCACAAATTCATAAGCGAAAGAATTACCGCATGAGATAGGGCATTGAGTTATTGTTGATACTCCATCCATGAAGGGTGTTTTAGTTTGATCGAATCCATGCCAATGTACTGCCGTAGCACCTTCGAGAAGATTATGCACCCAAATCTTAACCTTTTGACCTTTATAAACAGAAATCTCTGGACCAGGATACTGTTTATTAATAGTCACTACTTTCTTAACAATGCTACCAAGTATTTTGGTTTCATTTCGAATATAAAGATTTATTACAAATGTTTTATTTAAATATGCACTTGAGTATGGGGGTATAATTTCGGAGATATTTAAATTTGTATTTGAGTAGCTGAATATGTCACTTTTGCTTTCAGAAATTGGAATGTAGTATATGATAAATTTAGCCAAGACAATGACTGTTATATAACAAACTAAATTTTTTATATTTTTCATTTTTGTGGTCAGCTGCGATGACGAAAACCTATATTTAAGCAATTGAGAAAATGCGTTTCTTTACATTAGGGCTTGGAATGTTTTTCGTAAAAAAAAAAAAATCGTTTGATAAATTTGTGGCGCAGATGAAAGACTAGGTTTATTTGTGGCTAATAATAATAATAAAGAGTGAGATCAATTACACAGAAAAGTTATCAAGGCAGAAATAGAGTACAGTATAAACGAAATTAATGTTCACCGGCGAAATATTATTAATAGGTGTAGAAGAAGCATTACTGTATTGTCAATATATAGTCAAAGAGTATACCATATTTTTATTAATTTAGAGATTATTTCCATTTCCCATTACAGTATATTATAAAAAAATCAAGAAATAAAAAATTTTACAAGAAATTTATTAATTTTTAATTCTCTTACCTTTATATAACTCTAGTTACTGTGATTACAGTGTATAAAATAATTTGAAATTATATAAAATATAATTTTCCATAATTTTTAAATGACCTATAAATCTATAAGATAAATATATTCTATTATTTTCTAATTAATTTTATCGGACAGATGCATGGAGTATGATAAGCTTGAAGCATTAAAATTTTTTCATGTTTCTGTAAAGTTACATAAATATATTGGGAACAAATTTAAAAACTCACAATTAGCTACTTCTAACTATTAATTTTTAATAATAAAATAATTCATATCAATAAATTAAATAACACCCATGCATTATATCAATGCTTCTTTTTACTTATATTTATATTTATTCATATTTATTCATTATTCATATTTATTCATATTGTTTACATATTCAGTATGGTGCAAAAAAATGACAATTTTTTATAATTATATTTTAATTAATAATTCCATAAATATTTTTTATTATAATTTAATATTTTATTAATTTTATTTTGAAGATATAATAAAAAAAAAACCAATTAAATAATTTTAAATAATAATAAGAATTTTTTAATATATTTTGTTTTAAAGTTAAAGATTTCATTAAAAAATTGATTTAAAAATAAGATTACGAAATTTTTTTTAAAAAAATTATAACTTTTAGTTTAATTAATAAATTTATTAAAAAAATGATATATATAAATATCAGAAGTATTCAAAAGTATTTATATAATATTTTTATACTTTTATAAAAATTTTTAAAAAAAATAATTTTTTTAACCTATTTTCAATCACTTTTTATATATATAAAAAGAGTAAAAAAATTAAATTATTTTAAAAAATATTAATATATTGATCAAAACAATATTATGTAAAGTTGTTTATAAGGTATTTAACTATATATTTATAAATTTTCATAAAATTTTAATAATTATTTATTAAGTTATAACTAAAAATATAATTGTAATTTTTTTGCACCATACTGTATATTTTCAATTATAAATAAACAAATGCAATGTATTCTTTAAATTAAATAAAACAAGTATTAATATTAGCTATATAAAAATAATAATAAAACAATTTATGTAAATTATATGATATACAGATTCCAATCTAATTATATGCTTTTACTCTATTTAATTAATCTATGCTATGTTTGTTTTTAATAACTTAAATATATTTAATTTAAAAATATTCGCTTCTTTTTAAATTAAATTGTACAGTCTTTTTTTTTTTATAAATTAATGATGCAAATTTATAATAATAATAATAAATTATTCTCTTGTAATATTATTAATTAAAAGCAAAAATAGTCAATATTGTAACAAGAAGAAATGGAACACGACGTCAGTCACGTGACCTATCGACGCGATAATGACGAGTGCTGCAATAATTGGGTAATCCTTTGCCTTGTCATTATATCATTATCTATTATTCTATGCCCAAGCCGTCATAGATAATATGTAATGAAAGAAAAATAATGGTTTGTAAAAATCAAAAAGTAGAAAGACAGGCAGATAAGTGTAAAAATAGAGAAGAAAATTAATAAAGAATTGTTCAAATAAATCAAATAAAACACGCCTCAAATCACCCCTTAGTTCACTTACCTAACGACTGTTACGCAAATCTCTGCTAAGATTAGCGACAGACTCGCCGTTACGTTCATTATGGCTTTTTGAGTTAAGTTTGGTATAATTTTTGCAGTAAATATTTTGACATTTTTCTTAGTAATAAATGCTCAAAATGGTATTGATAATCAGTCTAAATCCATTATTATTTATTTATTTATTTTTTAAATAATTATACAATTGGTGACTTCTATTTACAAATACGATCTTTAGCTGCTTTCACAGGGTCATCCTATTATCCTAATATTTTGACAATTTTAACTGCAAAAATTTCCTTCTTTCTTTTTTGAGCTTTCTTTATACTATATTTTTATGGTTCATATTTACGTTTATATCACATCTTATTTTAAATAAAGAAGTTTACAAAGAATAATTATTTGTCATCATCTATTTATGCCCCAATGCTGTTTTATACATGTACAATCGTTTGCCGAAATTATTCTCCTATTTTAAAACATGAGGCTTGGATTCCTCAGATTATAATAGCAATAATCCGAAAATTCAAGTCACATCTTTAAATGAACAAATAACTTATAGTAAGTACCGTACTGCGTATTTTGTACTGTGTATCAACATTAAATCATATTGCATTGTGCTCTAATATCTTTGAAAGTTGCGAAGAAACTCATAAATTAGAATTAAATTAAATAACGCTTTCTTATTGAGAAATTGTAAAGTTATCTATAAATATATTAAACGAACACTTTCATATCTTAATAGAGTTCTTGAAACAGAACCAGATAATGCCGACGCGTTGGAGATGCGTGGAGCAATCTACGGAATGTTGAATAAATATAACGAATCACTTTCCGACCTTAATATATATCTAAAAATAAAACCAAATAACGCCAAAGCATTAGGAATTTGTGGAAAAATTTATGGAATGTTAAATAAATATAACGAATCAATTTCAGAACTCAGTAAATCACTAGAAATAGAACCAAATAACCCTGACGCATTGATGAGTCGTAGAGTAGCCTACTTAATATTAAATAAAAATAAAGAATCTTTTTCAGATCTCAATAAATCCTTGGAAATAGAACCGAATAACGTCAAAGCATTAATAAAACGTGGAGACATTTACCGAATATTGTATATGTTTAACGAAGCACTTTCGGATCTCAATAAATTACTATAAATAAAACCAAACAATGCCGAAGCATTGAGAAATCGTGGAACAATATACGGAGTGTTGGGAAAATACAATGAACCTCTTTCATACCTCAATAAATCGCTAGAAATTGAATCAAATAATGCTGACGCGTTAACGACTCGTAGAAAAGGTTACAAAATGTTGAATAAACTTAACAATCACTCTCAGATCTCAATAAATCACTAGAAATCAAACCAATTGATGTTGATGCATTAAGGTTTCTTGGAGAAATCTACGGAATGTTGTATAGATACAAAGAATCGCTTTCAGATCTCACTAGAAATAGAACCAAATAATGCCGACACATTGAGGATTCGTGGAGAAACTTACTTAAAATTAAATAATCACAATAAATCACTTTTGGATCTTAATAGATTCCTAGAAACAAAACCAAACAATGCCGACATATTGATCATTCGTGGAATAACCTACAAAATGTTGAAAAAATATGACGAATCACTTTCAGATCTCAATAAATCACTATAAATAAAACCAATAATGACGAAACTTTGAGGATTCGTGGATAAGCTTACTTAATATTAAATAATTACAATAAATCACTTTTGGATCTTAATAGATCCCTAGAAATATAACCAAACAATGCCGGCACATTGAGAATTGTGGAAAAACCTATAAAATGTTGAATAAATATAATGAATCGCTTTCAGATCTTAATAAATCACTAGAAATAGAACCAAATAATGCCGAATCATTGAAATTTCGTGAATAATGTCAAATAAATACAACAATAACTTGAATTTTGATAGATCTTTAAAAATGAAGCAAAACAATGCTGACGCATTAGGGAGATTTGCAGAAAGTTGAGTATATATAACGAATAATTTTCTGATCTCAACTACTGGAGATTACGTGAAAGGGATCGACGAGACCGGAAAATCGGAAATAGAATTTTGTGAGAGTGATTAATTCTATTTGGTATACTGTATAAAGGTAGAAAATATTTACATTTGATGTTTGTATTACCTTTTCACTAACAAAAGAGTCTTTTGTAACAGTAGCACTTTTGCTGTTCATAAGCTTTTTGAAGACGAAAATTAAGAAATCCCGCTGATAAGAGGGTAGCATACCAAGTAAGTTGTTCTAACATTGGCTAAATATTTTATGAGAAAGTGACTCCTGTAACCAATTCGCCTACTACAATAAGGCTTCTATACGTGCTCGCCGAGGGTGTGATATTGAGCGAGTATGAATGTTATCCAGACAAGTTTAATATCCTTATGGTCTTTGGGAAAGGTTCAATTGTGAAGTTGACCATTATTAATGAGCTTCCAACAAAACATAATGAATAAGTTTGCCCTTAGAACCTCCAGTACGATTACCAATCGGGAGCGACGGAGAGGTACATTACACAGGGATTGATCCTTGCACCAAGTTTATTCAGTTATTATGTAATTAAAAAAAACGTGAAAGATTATCATCAGATGCCTTCAATTTAGTTTAGTTTTTGTTCATAAGTAAGGATACTTTAACACTAAGGACCAAATCTTGCCGTAGAAGTTGTGTACTCTAAAAGCTAAGAGCATGTCCTGAAAAAGTACAAATTATTAGTTACGCGATCTTAGTCGTGTCTATGATCTAATAATAATCAGTTTCTAGAGCAAAATTCCTACGCGTATGAGGTAATTATATAATATGGTACATACTGTGGTAGTATCTTTGTATACTCCCTAGAAATTCGCGTCAAATGTACAAAAGGTGCAAAATCAAATTCTCTAAGATAGAGTTGTTCATTTTACATTCCCTAAGATGCGATACAGTATATACAGTACAATCCAAAACTCTCTCTTTTTATTACATCAAGCAATACACGACATTAGATCATAGAGTACTAGTCCCTTAAAAAATCATCAACATAAATCGTAAAGCCTATGGACTACATAGTAGATCATACCATTCGTCGGGAGGCTGTAATTTTAAAATTTCTTTGGGCAAAGAAATAAATTAGGCGAGCATTCCAGATACAACATGAAACTAGTATAAACATATAAAAATTTAATAAAACAAAAAATTGTCACTATAATCCAGTATTATTTCAACAAACCGTAGAGTGACTATGGAACGCCCATACTCCAGGATTATCATTTATGAAGCGAATTTTTACCCATCTACATAGTAAAACAAATACATTATTGCATTGTAAACAATTTGTTTTTTCTTTAAAAAAATCAAGACTCACCCAAATTTGGGAACAACGACAACATCCCGTTTAATAGAGTATTCAATATTTATACCATTACCTAATGGAGTGGTTGAATTTCCAGTTCCAAGATGCCAAAAGGAGTGACTATGCTACCGAATAAACTTTGTAAGTAAAATGACAGAAAAACGATTCATATATCAAGTGCCTACCAAGTGGAAAGAATGCGACATCGAGTATTTGTCTATAAGATAAATTTAAATATATAAATGTGTTGATAGCTTAAGCATACACTAAGAAATTCAACGATTATTACTCATTAAGAAAATATCAATCACTTCGGTGGTTTCGAATATATATGTGTTCACCTCAGGCTCAATTTTAATTCCGAGATACACCTCCCTAAGAGTGTTGGTCTCTATCAAATAATCGGCAGGACAAAATCCCCTTGATAATGTAGCCACAGAACCAAAAATGGGATCACTGTTTCTATTTACTAAAGTTTTGCCAGCACTCATGACAATTTGCATTCTTAGTTCTAGAGTTGGATCCGGTACAATCTGCTCATAATACGGAATCAATCCTTTCGACTCATTATCTAAACATTCCATCGATTCATTAACCCATGATCTTGTATCTGGTAGAGATTTATCGGTTGCATTATAACGAACAATGGCTTTTATTT